CTCTGCCCAGCAAAGGAACAAGGCAGCAAGGCAAGCAGCAGGGAAGCACAGCGAGCAGCAACAGAACAAGGCAGCAAGGCATGGAAAGCAGGGAAAGGCATTAAGCAGTGAGGTAACAAGGCACTGAATGCCAGGCAGGTGGGCGGGCCGGACACCAACAAAGCAACGCACGCAGCAACACAGGAACCCATGGATGCAGCAAGGCACAAAGTGAACCATCCCCTACTCACATCATATGAAAAATCTAGCAGACAGAGCAAGGAATCGCCCGAAGAATGTCCATCACCAGTGGAAAACACAGAGAGACATGCAAAAGAAACACAGCCGCCCCCCTAATAGTGTCGCACACATTCTATACAAACGGGCGCCAACTATGGGACATAATTTTAAGGTGCTACACTTTGGTACTTTGAAAAGCCAAAACCATTTCATAAGTAGACAACAAATCTAGAAAGCTCTAAGGAGAACAAGGAAAATGAGTTATAATGACAATAATAATGGCAAGGCCGGAGGGCAACAAGGCAGCGAGTCAGCGAGACAACAAGGCCGTGAAGCAGCAAGGAAGAGAGGCAGCAACGCAGCAATGCAACAGAAAGCAAGGCAACTAGGCAGAAAGGGGCAACTAGGCAGCAAGGCAACAAGGCAGCGAGGCATCTAGACAGAGTGAGGTAGCACAGCAAGGCAAGCAGCAGCGCAGTGAGCAGTGAGGGAACAAGGCACAGAACAGCAAGGCAGTCCGGCGAACAGGTGGGGGCGCGGGTCGTACACCAACACAGCAAGACACCCACCGACACAGGAACCGATTGACGCAGCGAGGAACAATCTCGGCAATTGCCTATTGTCATCATATGCAAAACCCAGCACAGCGTAGATTCACTCCACTATAAAGAGCCAGGAAGCCACCTGATGAATGTCCATCACCAGATGAAAACAGAAACACACAGGCATCTGAAACACAGCCACCCCCCTAATAGTGTTGCAGGCACTCTATACAGATATACACCAACTAGTTGCCACAGCTTAAACCACCAGCACATGGCCCCAGGCAACTGGAGAACCTGTTTAGAAAATCTCCGAAAATTTAGGAGGCCGAGCGCCATAGGCAATCGGTGGCAGGCGGCCTCCGAAAGGGGCCCGTGGCCGATAGCTGGCATGCACTGATGCTTTAAAGTTACCAGTATTGACTACACTCCAGTACTTGGAAAAAAACTCTGGAAAAGCCAAAACCATATAGCAAGTACACAAGAACATAGCGAAAACTCTTAGGAGAACAAGAAAATAACTTATAATAATGGCAAGGCAGCGAGGCAGCGAGGCAGCGAGGCAGCGAGGCGGCGAGGCAGCGAGGCGAGGCAAGTAACAAGGCAGCATAGTAAGCAGCGAGGGAACAAGGTGCTGCACAGCAGGGCAGGCGGGTGGGCAGGTGGGCGAGCGGGAGGGACACCAAAACCCAGCAGCACAGGAACAAAGGGCCGCAGCAGGAACATAGTGGACTATCACCTAAACACATCATATGGAAAACCCAGCGGATTGTAGGTTCATGCCACCTTTGGAAGCCAGGAAGCCATCCACAATGATGGATATTAATAATAGCAATCATCATAATAAATTAAATAAAATAGTAAGTTAGTAATGTGGTAACCGGCCGGACGTCTGGACCGGAATCCAGACGGTCCGATTGTCGGGGTTTGGGTCCGGTGTCCGGTTCGGTAGGTCCAGATTGGGCCCAATTTTGAAAAATTCAATTTTTTTTTTGGGGGGGGGCCTAGGACGTTTTTCGGGTCCTAGGCCACCCCCAAAAGATGCCCCCGGTATTTTTTGTCCGTTTCAGGGCCTACCGGACGCCTCTAGACACCTCCAACAGCTCCCTCTGCTGTTGTACTACGGTGGTAGTTCATCGGAAGAGGATGAGTCCGATTCCGAAGATGAAGCACTGGCTGCAAAGCGCCACAGAACATCAAGCCACAGAGAGAGAGAGAGAGAGAGAGAGAGAGAGAGAGAGAGAGAGAGAGAGAGAGAGAGAGAGAGAGAGAGAGAGAGAGAG